ATAGTTATTTCTCAAAAGAAGGTATACAACTGACTAATAAGCACATCAAAAGAAGTTCAACATTACTAATCATTAGGGAAATGATAGTAGCCATTAGGATGCCTGCCATCAAAAAACCTGAAAGTAACAAGCGTTGGTGACAATGTGGAAAAACTGGAACGCTTGTGCACTGTTGGTGGGAATGTTAAATGGTACAGCCACTGTGGAAAACAGTATGGCAGTTCTTTAAAAAACTAAAAGTAGAATTACCATATAATCCAGCAATTTCATGTCTAGGTATACTCGTATACCCTAAGGAATTGAAAGCAGGGTCTCAAAGAGGTTATCTACATCTGTGTTTATAGCGTTATTCACAATATCCTATACATAGAAGCAACCCAAATGTCAACAAGATGTACGTACAGGGTGGGGCAAACGTAGGTTTGGAGTTGCTCATACGGAAAGTAACACAATAATATGCATATGATAGAACTCTACACAGCTTTAAAAAGGAAGGCAATCCTGTCACATGTGTATGAATGAACTTTGAAGACATGCTAAGATAAGCCCCCCTACACAAAGAAACCAACTACTGTGTGATTCCACTTACATGAGGCATCAAAAGTAGCCAAATTCATAGAGACATAGAGTAGAAGGGTAGTTGCCAGGGGCTGGACGAGGGAGAATGAGTTCAATGTCCACAGGGCTTGTGTTTTGAAAGTTGAGTCCTGGAGCTTGATTGCATGACCATGTAAATGTTCTTACAACACTACTAAACTGTATACTTATAAATGGTTAAAGTCATCAATTTTATGTGTGTTTTACCACAATTAAAAGTAATTTTTAGGAAAAAAGGTAAGGGAAATGTCCAGAACAGAGGTCACCGGTGGGGCAGGGGCAATGGAGTTGGACTGGAGAGGAGCGCAGAGCTTCAGTGTGTTCAAGTTCTGTTGCAGCTCCCAGGCTGGTCATAGGTTCACCCAATTTTGCACCGGTTACATACTACTTCAAAACATCCTATACATGTAAGAGTAAGCCACGTTATTTTCATTGGCATCACTTGTTATACTATAGATGCCTCCATTCTTCGATAAACAGGTGATATTAAAGACCCCAACTTAAGTGTCTCTTTTTTTCATGTAAAGCTTTAATTAGATCCTTTTTTCCACCAAATAATTTATTTGGGAGTGGAGCATTTACTTTCCCTCATCCTCTTTCATTTTCATTAAAACTTCAAAAGATTTGCCTTTCCCTTTGGCCCATCCCTGCTCCAGCTGTTTGCTTCTGATGGTCTGATTATGAGTAAAAGTTCATGTTCTTCCCATGGTCCGTATAGCTCATTCATTCAGCAAATACCTATTGACTGAGTGTTATGCATCAAGCACTATTCTAGGTGCTGAGCCTGCAGCAACCAATAAAACAGACAAAAATTCTTGCCCTCTTTGCTTCTATCTTTCCAGAGAGAAGAATCCTAGTAATCCTAGCTCTCAGCCTATCTTTCCCCCCTATCCTTTCTGAGCTATGCCGATTCCTCCAAGTCTCTCAAATTCTGGTCTGTCTTGAAGGACTTGAGAAGCAGTATCAAGGTCTCCTAACCTTTCTCAGATTTTAACGGATGGTTCAGAAGTCCCTCTGCCTGTGTCCCCTCTGGTTTGTTTGGCACTTGAGCTGCTATAGGCTGCTGTTTCAGTGAAGGAAAAAAAAAAATCGCTGATTGAGAGGAAATGGGAGGATGTGGGAATGAAAGGACCAAAACAGTAGAAATACTATCCCGAGAACGTTATTGTGAAAGAGAAGCATTAAGACAGGTTGACTCAACTAGGAGCCCCTTTCCCTTTTGTGCTTAAAGGAGCATGAGTGACCAAACAATTGACCCAAATAACTCCAAATAAGGGGCTCAAAGTTTTCTCAGGAACCCCTCATGTCCACACTTCCATACAAACTTAAATTCCAGAGGGCATTTTGTTTTTTTGCTTGTCAAGTTTTTTTTTTTTTTTATTCCAAAGAGAGAAAAGAGGGGGGAGAGAGAGAGAGAGAGGGAGAGGGAGAGAGAGATACCGATGTGAGAGAAACATTGATCAGTTGCCTCCCGTATGCGACCCTACCGGGGACTGAACCCCCAGCCTTTCAGTTTATGGGACAACGTTCCAACCAACTGAGCCACATTAGCCAGGGCACAGGTTTCTATTTTTGAATATGCAAAATGTTCAAAGGGAATGTTTTAAAATCATTTTATTACTTTTCTAATATAAAAACACATGCTTATTGTGAAAGAATTCAATAATTATAGAGTAAGAAGATAAAAAATCAACTAAAGATACCCGTTATTAATAGTTTGCTATCTTTTCAATGCACATGTATTTATTGGATATGTGGAGCAAAACTGTCTAGTACAATGCTGTTCTGGGACCCTTCTGTTTTCTTCGCTAAATAGTCTAGAATATTTTTCCATGTCAGTAGATACAGCAATACATCGTTTTTAGTGACCACATAGCGTTCCTCTGTGTGGATATATCCTAACTTGTGCCTCTTTTCTGAGGATGTAAACACTGAAATGCACATCCTTTGTACATTTATCTGTTTACATGCCTACTTATTTCCTTAAGCCATCTTGTTAGAAATGGAATTGCTGCTAAATCTCACTTATTAAAAGAAGGATCACTTCCAGAGCCTTCTTTTTCAGTCCTTTTTTTTCTTTTTATGGTGAGACAAGGGAACAAAGGCTTAATGCCGTTTCATTTATTAATTCTAAAGTGTGTGTGTATGTGTGTGTGTGCGTGCGTGCACTACCAGCAGAGCTTGCACTTGAGTGTGTGCAATCATTTGAGAAGGAAGATGAGAACATACTTCTACAAAGCATACTCAGAAAAAGAGTCTCTGCTGCTTCTGAAGTGTATTGTTTGAATTATTCCAAAAATAATTTTATAACTAAAAAACTCAAGACTGATATACTAATGAAGTGACAGTGACCTTGAGGCATGTCTGTGTTGCCGGGGAAACCAGCAAGGCAGCCTTTGCTGTCTCAGTGGCCACCTGCCTCCCCTGGGGCTGCAACAAGCCCCAGGCATAGAGATGTTGCAACTGTCCTGACGACTAGATACCTTCTACGTGAAAGAATGATGAAATCCACTTAGAGAAATATTTGGGCCCGTTTATGCACAATCGAAATAGTCACACAAATTGTTAAATGAAGGTATAGCATTTGTAAGAAAAATATTTTCAACAGTATGTAGTATTCATTTTTATTTAAACAGAAAAGTCCCCATTCCATTTTTATAAAAATACTCATGAAATTTGTAATTAACAAAGATTCGTTTATCAGAATTTTGTCATTTATCTAGTTTAAAAGTTTTTCAGAATCCTGTCATTATCTATTGTGAACTCATAAATTAATTCAGCTAGATGTCTTGGTGTCTGATAGAGGATTTTCTTAAATCTTTCTTCTCTATATCTAGCCTTAGCTTGAACCTGTCTCTTTTTTTAGAGATTTATCTATTTTTAGAGAAGGGAAGGGAGGGAGAAAGAGAGGGCAAGTAACATTAATGTGTGGTTGCATCTCGCGCGCCCCCTACTGGGGACCTGGCCTGCAGCCCAGGCATGTGCCCTACACTGGGAATGGAACCAGCAATCGTTCCGTTCGCAGACCGGTACTCAGTCCACTGAGCCACACCAGCTAGGGTTGATCCTGTCACTTTTAAATGTGTTTGTTGTCTTCTTTTCTTAAATTTTAGCAGCCTGTGGTACCTTTCTCTCTATTTTAAAATTTAACAACGCTTTCTTACAAATATGTTCATATCAGTGACTTTTTGTAATACATGCATATGTCTGTGAAACTTAATTTTATATTGATATTTTTAAAGGTTAAAGAAAGTGGGCTCATTGACTTCACCTTTTTGTAAACTTTGACAATAAACAAACCAAATTCTGCCTTTCACCTCTAATGTTTGGAAGATCACAGTTCCTGTCAATTAAGCCACCCTTTCTTCGTAACTGTAAAGAATAATCAGAAATCACTGAAGAGTTAAAACCATTTATCAACTATATCTGTAACGTAAACTGCTGATTAGTTAAAAACTGGTTGAGATGGTTTTACTTGTAATTATTTTGAACTTTGATATTTTCATTAGTTTTGCAGCAAAGTCAGGTTTATTCATTAGAGAGCTTTAGCTAGTTTTTCACGCTATTCCTGCTTGGATCGTTTAGGGGTGGGGACAGGTGAGTGCAAGGGAGATGAGTGTGAGTAATGGGAGCATAGCCTGGTGTTCGGGAGGGCGGAGCTCTAGGAGCAGGGAGGGAGGGGTTCGGGGCATTGGGTCAAGGCCGGTCCTGGGGGATGCAGACACACAGCCTGCACTCCTTTGGAGGGACGTGGCTATTACATGTGGTTCCCCATGAGGGAGCTTGCCCTGACGCTCTGGGCTGGGGAATGGAGACCTTGCCCCACCTTGGCATATTCCCCTTCCTCTGGTCAACGAGCTCACTCATGCTAATTCCTTTAAAACAAAGATTTTTTTTCCCCCCTGACTGGTGGGGCTCAGTGGATTGAGTGCCGGCCTGTGAACTAAAAGGTTGCTGGTTTGATTCCCAGTCAGGGCACATGCCTAGGTTGCGGGCCATGTCCCCAGCTTAGGGACATGCAAGAGGCAACTGATTGATGTTTCTCTATCTCTCTTTCTCCTTCCTTTCCCCTCTCTCTGAAAATAAATAAATAAAATCTTGAAAAAAGAAACACAAGGATTTTTCAGGATAATTAAATATTTGACAGTGTGTAAAGGAATTTTCAGAGTGAACTGAGTCAAGAGTCGGTGGTGGTTAAACTCCCTCCAGGTTTTTGGGAAAGCAATAGTAGATGCTACCATCTCTGCTGTCTAAGGCCTTCACCTTCTCAGCTCGTTGAGAAATGTCGACCCCAGCAAAGGCTGTTTTCCACCCTTCAGGCTAGGACAGGCGTATGAAGAGGAGCTGTCTGTGAAGAGCTTTGCCAGGAAGCTGCTCACTCTGCTCCCAAGAAAGCTTCATCCTCACCTGGCATTTTCACTTCTTCCTTTGCTGTGTTCCAGGATGTGGGTCTCACTTGTGGCCTAGGGAGGGAGGAAAAGGCCCAGTGGCAGGGTGATTATTGTCTTTGGTGAGGTTGTGTCCATTTTCACATTCTCACCTGCCCTGCTTCGAGGGCCGCAGTAATTCTAGGCACTCTGTTCTCAGCTCCAGTGAGGCCTGCCATGTATTGATCCTGTCTCTTCCCTTCAAATAGTAACTGGGGGCAGGTTTTCAGATGGAAAAACCAGGACAAGAGAGTCACCAGGAGCCCAGGTTGTCATCAGGAACCGGGGAACCTGACTCTAACATTTCTGACTGGGCTGCGTTCTGCGTTGTGGAGAGCTTGAGCCTGGAACAGCCTCATTCTAGAAAACAACCCCAATCTGCTCTCAGCTTCTAGTTGCACCCTTCTCCTCTGGGAAGGGCTGTGGATCACCTGCTTCTGAGCTGCTCTCGGGGAGAATGAAGGATTTGAAGGCAGCGACTCACCAGGGAGATGGTGGAGTTGGGGGGTGGGGCACGGCAGAAGCGTCTGCGTAAAGCCTGTTGTACCTGCAGAGAGAGAGAAACGCCTGGTTATGCAGCCAAAGCCCCCCGCCTTCGGATGGGAGTCAGGTGGTTAGGACATAGACTCACTTTCTTGTCCATAAGGCAACCAAACCATAAGATGAAGACACCCTGAAAAGAGGGAGATGGGGATAAGTGAGTTAAGGAGGACCGAACCGAAATCAGCTGGTTTCCTCCCCTCCTCCCTCGCCTCTGTCCTCTTGTCTAATTCTTGTTCTGAGGCTTCCCATCTTGGGCTTCCGTACATCAGCATCACTGGTGCACAGGACCATTCTGGTGCTTTTCTTACTGCTCTGGTTGCAAAGGGGATATCAAAGGGTTGGATACTGACAATTCCCTGACTTCTCTGGCAAAACCAGGTATTATTTCCCAGATAAGAAAACCAGAGTTCAGAGAGGGTTGTCCAAAGTTATCCAGCTAGTCAGTGGAGGACCTGGGACCCAAACCAATGCCTTCTAAAATTCCTGAGCTGCTCTGGCTGGTGTGGCTCAATGGACTGAGTGCGGGCCTGCGAGCCAAAGGGTTGCAGGTTCGATTCCCAGTCTAGGGCACATGCCTGAGTTGTGGGCCAGGGGGTGCATGAGAGGCAACCACACATTGATGTTTCTATCCCTCTCTTCTCCCTTCCCCTCTCTAAAAATAAATAAATAAAATCTTAAAAAAAAAAATTCCCAAGCTATACTTCCTCTGCTCCACCATGACACCGCCTTGAGAAGGGACTGGCAGAGATTTAGAACTTCTAAAACAGCAAAAGCACAGCCACCTGGTTATCACCCACCTGGGAGGTGTTGAGAATTGTGAAGATGTAGTGAGGGACTATGGAGGCTTCCTCTAGCAGAGTGGCCAGGCCCAGCCCCCAGGTGAGACCAAAGATGGGTGTGAGTACAAGCAGGGCTTTGATCACCCCCAGAAGGTCTTGGCGCTTCTCCACCTGGGGTCCCTCTGACAGCGAAGGTCTCAGCAACTTCAGCATGGTCATGCCTAGTACCAGCCCATTCAGGCCCACAATGACCAGCACCGGCCCCACAAAGGTGTACAGCGCCCCTCCCTTTCCATCCAACCAGCACGCCCCCTCTCCCAGATATTGCCCTCGAGGTAGATAGAGGCCCAAGGCGACACCTGCAAACCCCATGGGGCACAGGTAGCCAAGAACCACCATGAGGGAGAGCACTCGGCGCTTGGACAGCTGATGGAAGACAAAGAGCAACTGGTGGGCCAACATCAGGGCCTGAGCCAGCATCCAGAAAAAGGTGGCCAGGTAGAGGAAATGACAGAGGAAGGCAGCGGCCAGGCAGAGTGGACTTCTGGGTCCTGGGGGAAGCAGTGGGGCTCCCAGGAAGCAGGTGTCTGCGGCCAGCAGACAGAGCACCACGTTGAGTAGGGCCGCATGGCGTAAGTAGGCAACTTTGTTCCGTACCACAACTCTCCACACCAGCCTGTACACACCCAGGCACACAAGCAGCGCCAGAATGGAGGCCACCAAGCCCATCTGACTCAGCAGCTCCAGGGTGGGGTTTTCTGGAACAGTGTGTCGGGACATGAGGACAGAGAAGGCAGTGAGGTGCCGACAGAGGCACTGGGTGGCGGGGCTGGCACTGGCTGCCTGCACCTGGCACCCTTCCTCTGACCAGCCCCCGCTGCCCTGGAAGAGATGGTGGTCCCAGAAGACACAGTGAAGGGTGCTATCTCTATCTCCAAAGTCCATGATGACTTCTCCCTTGTTGAAGGCCTGGCCACCTGCCATGACAGAGATGGCGAGGACCAGACCGGGAGTGGCATAGAGGGAGTCCCCCAGCCCTGGCCCATAGTTCGAGGGTAGAAGGTGGTCCAGCTTTCGCAGCACCAGGCTAGTAATTGTGATGTTATTGTTACTAGTAACCAGGGGGGCCAGTGAGCGTCTGAGGATCTGTGCCTGCAGAGGTGGCTGAGTGGAGAAGGAGACTCTGTAGTCAGCAGGAAGCGTGGGGCTGAGGAGCTGGGTCTGCATCTGCACGTTGGGCAAGCCGAAGCTGAAGGGGTGATCCTGTGGGCGCAGGCTGCACGCCAGGGTCTCCACAGCCAGCAGGAGATCTGAGCTCGCCGAGGGTGTCTGGACCTGGGCCGTGGTCCACAGGGAACTGTTGTCCATGTCTAGGACCTTGTCAGTGGTTTTCAGGAGAGCCTGTGGCACCCAACAGAGAGATAGATGAGTCCCAGCTGCGAGCGCCCACAGCACTGAGCTGGGGGCACTAGGGTACAGAGGCCCCCAGACCTACCTTTCCTCGTTCATTGCAAGGCCTAAGGTTGGAGAGAAAGCGGGGAAAAGGTAGGCCTCTCAAGGGAGCGTTTCTAGATAGGAAGAATGGAGGCGCTGTTCAGCTAACCACGGGAGCATCTTCAAGCACGTGGTCTCCTGAAGTACATCCCACCCCTCCATCTGACAACACTTCTTCCCCCGCCATCCCTAGGGGTCATTGAGGCCCTCAGGGGGTCTTCTTCGATTTCTTGACTCCCTACAGGCTTGAAAAGTAGGAATGGCGATAGAGGGCACAGTGTCCTGAATTAGAGAGCCACGCGCACGTCTGAACACCAACGTGCAATACATATTCCCAGACACGACGGGTGTGTAGTGTTATAGGCCCTAGTTGTTCTTCTGGCTGCAGCCTACGGGTCACCAGCAGATGCCTACACTGAGAGCTGGTTTAGGGGACTCCAGCAAAGCCAATTGTGTTTGAGTGTCTTCATGCAGGTCCTTGTGAGTGCTTGCTCATGTGTAGGGGTGATTCATGTCATACCCACATATCTGTGTGTGAATGTATACCCTAAACTCTTGTGAACACACACCGTCCTCAGTCTCCCCTGTGTTCTCGGCGTCAAGTCTTCTCCACATTCCATGGCCTTAGAGACTGGTGTCCAAGAGCAGAGATGGACCACTGGAGCAGACACTCAGACTCTAGAATGGTCTGTCGTCTGACAGCCCATGGTGATGTCAGAGGGGCAGAAGTGCCCACAGGTGAAAAACTTCGAGCCCCCTCTACCCAGCTGGCACCTGCCGTGGCTCCGAGAGCTTACCTCCAGGGCACTGGGGTGAAGCTGCATTCTGGTGTCTGCTACCACCTTGGCCAGGTATGTCATGGTGCCCAGCAGTGCCAGTAAGTCAGAGGGCGAGCGCACCACCTCCGTCTCCTCTAGCAGCTGTGCCAGGCTCTCTGGTACCTCTTCAGCAGGGCAGCCCTGGCCTTCCCACAGCAGCTGGGACAGACGACAGGAGTGGGGCCAGTGTGGGGGGAGCAAGTCCTCACCAGAGAGGGGCCACCTCCTCCCCCATCCAGCTCCTTCCTCCCCATAGCCCCGCCCCACCCAGGGGATCAGGACGCAGAGTGAGCCGTGTGGGTACAGCTGACACCAATGTTAGTGGAAGGGACCCTTGACAGATGAAGGCTTGGGAATAGTGCCCTCCCCGCCATGAGAGTCTTGGCCATTCTAGGGCCCCCATGCCTACTTCCTGGCTCTGCTAGGGTTCCGAGTCAGAGAAGCGGAATAACCTCTGGCTGGGCCTCAGGAGGAAAGGATTCTAAAGCTGGGTCCTGAGTGAGGAAGGGGCAGGTCATGGAGGGTGGACCACGTGGGCAGCGGGGCGAGAAGCTCTACCTGGGCTCTCTGAAACAAGGCGAGGAGCCCCCTGTCTGTGCAGCTGTCGTGGATGGGTCCCCAGACTCCATCAGGCCCGCACGTCCTCTTCACCATGCCCGTCCTGTTCACAGGACATGGGGCCTGTGCCACGTAGCCAGCTTTGGTGACGTTCCAGGCAACAGCTGAGGAGTCCTCAGGGCAGGTAGTGTCTTCATCTGAAGAGTGACATTGGGGAGAGCTCAGCAACTGCAGTCTAGCTGAGCTGCTCCTTGGGCAGAAACCCAAGGCAGGCATTGCCCGGGGCAGCGAAATGTCAAGGAGGAGCTCCCAGGGCAGGCCAGTGGGAGGTCGGCCAGCTGGACCTTAAGGCCCACGTACCCTGGATGATGGAGACAGAGATGGGGACCCTGAGAGGGGTCAGTCCTGGGCTCTGCAGGTCACAAGTGTATGTGGTGTCAGCTGTCGGGCAATGCTGAATGGCCAGCACAAGGCACTGGTCATCTGGCTGGTTGAGTAAGGAGGCTGAGGGTGGGATGGGAGAAGAGAGCCGTCAGTCACGGGACCAGGGGCAGACCTTGACCCCGAAGGCCCAGGCTGGCTGGCTCAGTCCTTCTAGCAATTTCAGAAGTAGAGGAAACATCGGGCAAAAGCAGAGTAGTATGAGGGCATGAAATTACTGAAAGCAAAGCTTGGATTTTGGTGAAGTTCCTTGGGGATCGCTAACTAGCCTGGGGACTTCAGCCACCGTTTCCTCATTTGTAAAATGGAACTGTCGTTAAATGAACCCCAGAGAGTTTAAGGAGATGGTATGGATAAAAGCATTTGGCAGAAAGTTATCGACACTCACGTGGTTATTCTTGTATCGATAAAATTGGGGTTGCTCTGTCGCAGAGAATTTCAATCGGTGTACCACAGGAATTTTTAAAACCTGTAACACCTGACTAGTCAGGGGCACTGACTTCGCTCCCCTTAGACTGCCCAATATAACAATGACAACAGCCAACCCAACAGTAGCTGTCTGGTGTGAACGAATCAAAAGTTTATATATATTTTTGTCAGATCAGCAAAATATATGTTTTTTTGGTGTGCCACAGAATTTTAGTAATTAGTTGATGTGGGCCATGAGGTGAAAAAGATTGAAAATCGCTTCCCTATTGCGTAAACACTGTGTTGGACTTGGACCTGGAACTCGCATGTTGAACTGCAGCCTCTGCCCCACCCCGGCCTGACCGTGGCCCCTTTGCATACCTTCGCTGCCCTCGCCAAGGTTCCAGGAAGCCAGGTAGCCCAGAGGTGTGGGGGGGATGCAGCAGCGCAGCTGGAAGCCAGGGGAGGCCGCACAGGAGATGGAGAGCTGATCCGGGAGTCGAGTCACATCTGCCGCCTGCAGGGGCACCCTCACTACCTGGTGCAGTTCCCACCTGAATCCCTGGGCCTCGAAGCAGCACCTGTACTCACCTGCAGACACAGGATCTTCTTAGTCTAGTCTCTGCTTAACCTCAGCAAGAAAGATCCCTGCCCCCAAAAGGACTTCTAGGAGGAAGAAGAGATCTGGAGAAGAGGCTCCTGACCCTTTTTTATTAGCTTGTAGCCATGAATTTGAAAGTGAACCTGTCTTGCCCTTACTGGTGTGGCTCACTTGGTTGGGTATCATCCTGCAAATTGAAAGGCCACCAGTTCGATTCCCAGTCAGGGCACTTGCCTGGGTTGCAGGCTTGTTCTCAGGTTGGGCCATGCAGGAGGGGCAACCAATTGATGTTTCTCTCTCACATCAATGTTTCTCTCCCTCTCTTTTTCCCTCCCTTCCCTTCTCGCTAAAAATAAATAAATAAAATCTTAAAAAAATAAATAAATAAAATGAAACTTTCTCCTTCTAGGAGAGGCCCTTCCTCACTATCCCCTACCATTTCAACAGCTTGAAGAAAAGTACTCGTCTGTTCTCAGTTAAAGTTGAGGCTATATTTTCAGCATTCTTCCCTTATGAATTTTCACATCAATGGGATGCTTAGCCTTTATTTCTCCAAAATGAATAAACAGAAAGATGAAAAGGGAGACGAAGAGGAGAAGAGAAAAGAAGGAAGGAGGAGAGAGGGAGGAGGAAGTGGAAAGGAGGAGAGAAGAGGCGGGAAGGACAGGCTGGCTACCTTCCCACTTATGGGAGATGTTGACAATGCTGAGGACAGTCTGGCCCTGGCTAGATGACAGGGACACATGTGTCCCTGGCTGCAGGAGGATGGGTCTGGGGCTCCCCATGTGGCGCTGCAGGAACCAGTTCAGGTTGGTGGTCTCGTGGCTCGTGAGGAGGGTCAAGTTCAGCGTGTTGCCAGGCATCTGCAGCCAGGAGTCCAGGCTCAGGGTGCCTGGGACTGAAAGGAGGCAGAGGACAGGGGGCCATTGCAGCAGGAACTCTCGGGCCCCCATGCAGCTAGGCTGTGGCACTCCCTCACCTTCTGACCCCCATCCCTCCTTGCTCCCTCCCCACCTAGTATTTTTAATTTTATTTTGTCCCTGGAGGAGTGTGGCTGCTGTAGTCCAGCGTGGAAGACCCCATCTGTCACTGGGAACCAAACAGGGAACCTTTTTGACCTAGGACCCCCACTCTCCCAGCAAGAAAATTTCTCTCCTTGTCGGTATGTCTCCAGAGCCCTGCTGTTCATTAGTTTCACTTCTCAGGTTCCGAGCCCAGGGCCTGTGATCTGCTGTGACGGCTGGTGTCTCCCCCGACCCCCACCCAGGGGAGCCACTGGGCTTGGGCCAGCTGGCAGAGATGCAGGGTCAGCGAGGAAAAAACACAAGAGGTTTCTTTCATTTGGGCCCATTGGTTTCCAAGCTCTCAATTCTCCTCACCAGGTGGCAGTAGCTGGCAGTACCCAGCTTCTGGAGGGCTGAGGACAAGGCAGCCGCAGGGCCGGTGGTTGTGGAGGAATTGGCAGGAATCGTGGCGGGAGCAGACACTGGCATTCCACTGGTACCCAGACAGGCAAGCACAGTAGGCAAGTCCATCAGGCTTGGTGGCACACTCTGTGACAGAGAAGGAGAGTGAGAGGTGAGCTGGCTGTCTGAGAAGCCACCTCGGCGGTACCAGCCACAGCCTGATGCCTGAGAGGTCTGGGGCTGGGTATCTGGAACAATCCCAAAGTCACAGCAACCCGGAGCTGCCTCCTCAGCTAGGGTTCAAAGGAATGGAGGTCATCACTCCCGAAGGCATCTGGGGGCGGGGTTGAGAAGTCCAGCTTCCCCATCATCTGCCCCTTGGGCCCTCTGTTTAGAAGATGGGGGCATGGAGCAGGAGGGGAAGGGCCTGTCAGGTGGGAAAGTGAGGAAGGAGCTGGGCCATGCAGACCCTCCAGGAAATAGGGAGCATCTCCGGCAAGCGGGCTGCAGGAGGGCTGGGAGGCCCATGTCCCCTTCACTCTGAGCTGCCCTTCCCACGCAATCGGTGGCCCTGAGAGGCAGGGCCCAGTGGAACTCCCCCTTACCTGTCGTGAGGCTGAGGCCAGTGAGGCTTCTTGGGGCAGAGGAAGCGGAGGCAGGAGGCAGAGTCAGGGGCCTGGACAGTGCGGCGGGCCAAGTCTCGTCGGAGAAGTCCAGCCGCACATAGCCGGAGGCCAGGACTGATTCTACAGGAGAAGGGGGCGTGGCTGGAGAGGAGAGGCAGGGAGGCCGTGGGCCGGTTCCCCCTGTTTAGCAGGTCACTGCCAGGAGCAGGTCCCGCCTCCCCATAGCCCGTCCAGGCCCAGTCAGGGCCCAGGAACAATCACTCCTCATCCAGCTGTGGAACACTCTGTTTTGTGACACCCCCCCAACAACCCCCCTCTTATAGATGAGGCTCTCACAGATGAGTGATTTTCTCAAGGCCTCACCGCTAGAGAGCGGGGGGTGGGTCTGCCTGGCCAGTGCCAGGTCCGGTCCTCTCTGTCCACCTACCGCCCCACGCCGCGGCCTCTCCGGGGGCTCTCTTTCCCCTCACGCGCTGCTCCCGCTCCTCGTCCATCCACTCACCACCTGCTCCAATGTTTCGGTCCAATTGCTGCCCAGGCTCCCCTCCCACCTGACTGGGTCCCTAGGACAGAGCACAGAGGAGAAACCCCTGAGCAGAAGCTGACCCCACGTTTCTTTCAGGGACACCTTCTTCCCCAAGTGGCCCAGTGGCCAGCCTGGCCAATCTGCTGGCGTGACACAGTTTCTTGGAAGGTCCTCTTAAAAAAAATGTTTTATTATTATTTTTTTGTATGGAATTAAGTGGAATATCAGGAGGGGGAAGTAGGCTCTGGCAGGTTCCTCTGGCAGGAGGTTCAAGGGAGGCATCTCCAGGGACTTGCCAGGGCCTGAACCCAGGAACCAGGCACACCCCGGAGAGTCAACATGCTTTGCTTAATTCCTTCCTGAATTTTCCTGTCCCTGTGCCTCCAGGCTAATTGAAATGGCTGGGTCTGGAGATCCAGGGGGAGGGCTTGGCAGAGCTGGCTGGGGCACAGAGGCTTGGGGACTTCCATTCCCTCCACAGGACTGGCCACTGGGGTGAGCGGAGGCAGCATCTTCCCTTAGTCCCCGGTTCCTGTAAATTACTCCTCACCAACACCCCCTTTGCTCAAAATAGTGTGTGTATGTGGATGTCTACCCCAAAACAGATATGGTTCTAGATAAGGGTATGGGTGGAGATAGAGATAGAGAGACCACGTGGGAGCAAACACAGGTGAAAATGTACTAATCTAGACTTGGCTGCCTTTCCTCAGATTCTCTCCTCTCCTCTATGCCAATGGTCCCCAAATCTGGAAAGTTCCTCTTTTCGTGCTTAAATTGCAAGCTTGGATGGAAAAGCCTTTATCCAAAGTGCAGCAGGCATCCCTGAGGTTCCCAGGGATGCAAATAAAGAAACAAAGCTGTCCCCACATTCTGGAATACAGACTGAACTCTCGGCGACCCTATAACAAATCGGCCTTTTGGGGAAGCCCTTTCCCCTCCACCTATCATTTCATCCCACACATCCCTCTGCCTCTCACAGCCGGATCTTCTCAGTGCTGCCTCTGCAGACCTTCCCGGGGTCCTTACCTCAGTCTCACTCACAGGTTGGGACGCTTGGGCCCCTGGTGACCCCACCAGGGGGAGAGTCATGGCCAGGAGGAGCAGGGGGGCGGCCGAGCGGACCATGGCTCGGAGAAGCAGTCCTCCAGAGCCCTCCCTCGGCTGCGTGATGCAAATTTGCTGGGGAAGAGCTGGCCAGGCAGCGCACAGGTCGGGGGCGGAGGTAGAGTGGAAGAGAGCCAGGGCCGAACTTACAGAGGAAGTGCTGCAGCCCATGACCGAGACACATGGGTATCCAGATCTCTGCAGGGCCACGTGTCCCTCAGGAAAGGAGTCTGCCCAGATGCTCCCCTGGGGTCTGGACCAAGGACTCAGTGAGCAGGAGAGGACTTAGGGGGTCCAAGGTCACAACCAACAATGTGTCAATAAAGTCAGGTTCAGCTACATCTCCAAGGACCTGGGAAACCTGGATTGCTCTGAAACTCCCGGGAAGCTGGATCATTGATCACGGAGTCGAGGTTAGAAAAGACAAACATTAGAGCTGATGGCTCTCCTCAGATAATTTCCAGATAGACTAGAGTCTTAAGTGTAACAAAAAATTTGGGAAAACACTAAGAGAAATTATCATGTAATTTCACAAAATAATTTTGAAGTGAAGAAGGCATTTCTAAACAAGACACAAAACCCAGAAGCCTGAAAGGAAATGAATTAGACTTTCAAAAAAGATATAACTTTGGGATGAAAAGAATGTTAGGGTAAAAAAGCAAAAGACAACATATTTGTAGCCTGATGGTTGCATAAAGAGCTATTCTTTTTATTTTTTTAATTTTTCAATTACAGTTGACATTCAATATATTAGTTTCAGGTGTACAGCATAGTGGTTAGACATTTATATAACTTATAAAGTGGTCACCCTGATGAATCTAGTACCCACCTGGCACCATACATAGTTAATTAGTACAATATTATTGACTATATTCCCTATACTGTACTTTACATGCTGTGTCTAGTTTCTAGCTGTCAATTTGTACTTCTTAATACCTTCCCCTTTATCACCCAGCCCTCCATCCCCGCTCCCTCCTGACAACCTGTTCTCTGTATCTGTGAGTCTGTTTCTGTTTTGTTTATTTTGTTTTTTAGATTCCACATATATGAAAAATCATATGGTATTTGTCTTTCTCTGACTTATTACATTTACCATAACACCCTCTATGTCCATTCATGTTGTCACAAATAGTAAGATTTCACTTTTTTTAATAGCCACGTAATATTCCATTGCATGCCCAGAAAAAGTCCAGCCATTCTTAATATAACAAGAACAGTTTACACAACATCAACGTAACCTGGCAGCCAAAGAGAGTAGACCGGAATGTTCACACGTGAACAATAACAACACGTGAACAATAACAACTTCGGGGGCAGTAGATGCCATTGAGTGAGCACATGTACTCTGTGGCCCTTGAATTCAAATGGCTGAGTGAGTAGAGCAACAAATCTGCATCAAATTTCTCATTAGGCTTGAACATTCCTTCACAGAAACTATTCAGATGATTCAGAAGGCTTTCGGTGACAATGCAATGAGCGCAGAGCAAATAAAAGTGTGGCACAAACACTTCAAAGATGGTCAAGAATCTGTTGAAAGTGATTCATGTTCTGGAAGGCCTGCAACAAGGAGAACACCTGAGAATGTTGAACATGTGTGGGTTGTAATCAACAAAGATCGGTGGCTGACCGCGCGAGAGCTAGAACCTCATGTGGGGATTCCAATTACCACCGTGCTCAAGATTTTGACTCAGGATCTCGGCATGACACTTGTCATGGCAAATCAATTCTGCAGCTCCTGCTACCAGAGCAGAAGGAATATCGTGCTGCAGTTGCTAATGACTTGATTCAAACTGCTACCATTAAACCAGATTTCCTCAAGAAGGTCATAACTTTGAAGGGAACTGAGGTGTCATTGTCCTACATACAATGCTTCTTGTGTTTGGTACCTTCAATAAGTGTCTCTATTTTTCATATTACATAGCTAGATATGTTCTGGCCAGGCCTTATGTACCACTGAGAGTACTGCAATGAACAAAAGGATATGTCTTCTTTAATTAGTGTTCTGGAATTCTTCCAACAAATATCCAGAAGTAGAATCGCTGGATCATAAAGTACTTCTATTTTTTTAAGTTTTTGAGGAAACTCCATATTGTTTTCCATAGTGGCTGTATCAATTTGTAATCCCACAAACAGTGCACGAAGGTTCTCTTCTCCTCATCCTTACCAACACTTGTTGTTTGTTGATTTATTCATAGCCATTCTGACAGGTGTGAGGTGATATTTCATTGTGATTTTAATTTGCCCTTCTCTGATGATTAGTGATGTTGAGCATCTTTTCACATGCCTACTGGCCATCTGTATGTCCTCTTTGGAGAAATGTCTATTCAGATCCTGGATTTTTTTTTTTTGGTGTTATGTTGTATAAGTTCTTTATATTATATATTTTGGATATTAACTCCTTATCAGATATATTATTGGTGAATATCTTCTCCCATTTGGTAGATTGTTCTTTTGTTTTGTCGATAGTTTCCTTTGCTGTGCAAAAACTTTTTAGTTTGATGTAATTTCATTTGTTTTTCTCTTGTTTCCTTTGAAAGAACTAATCTTAACATAAGAATTTTTTATTTTACACATCAGTAAGGCAGAAAATAAGTAGAAAAATAGGAACAAGCAGCTCACTGAAAAAGAAATAATTTGATAAACATATAAAAACATTCACGTCAAGATATAAGAAATACAAATGAGTAATAAGAAAATACTCTGTCAGCTACCAATTACCAAAAGACAAGATAATGTTGAAAAAAATATACTTGTACCTGAGTACAGAAATATGTATATTAGGGTGTTTAAGGCAGAGTTGTTTGTGAAAGCAAATGAGTTATGTCCGTTTCAAAGGAATGGGTTAAGTAAATATGGGATTTCCAAACAACAGACCATTCCAGGGGGAAAAATAGTGAAGTAGCTCTAAGAGGCCTTGAATAATATTTGTATTAAATGAATCAATAAATAAATGAAACACATCGAGACATTAACAGTGGTTGTCGTTAGGGTGGTCAGTGATGCAGACTGTGAAAGAATTCACAAAGACAGGAAAATGTAGAGAATAAAGTTTTTATTCACTGTCCAGAAAAGGAGAGGGGCATGGTGTGGAGAGATACACAGCAGCGAGGGGCGAGGGCCTTGAGCTTTCACTGAATTATAATTGGATTAAAAGGGGGGCTGCTGCTGTGAGGCCCCTGGGCTGTTGCTGACGTTGTCACTTGAGGCTGCAGTTTCTTCCAATGTTATCTTCTGCCTGGAGCTGTAGGGAGCAGTTCGTCAAGTTCTGTTCTTGCTTTCCGGTAATTTCCAGTGCTGGGGACATAAACTCAGAAGAGTAGAATGGCAGCCATGTTAACAAGGTCATAGGCCTGCTCAGTAGATGGTGTCACGATAGCAAGTGGTGCTGACTGGATCATTTCCATTGTGACTACATGGTAGGATTTGTAGCTTTTTCTTCTTTTCTGTGTTTTCCCATTTTGTATTCTATGATGAAAAAAAAAAAACCTTAATGAAAATATCAAGTCTCAACTTCTTTCTCAGACACCAGCCAGGTTCAGAGTCCAGTTCTGCCCAGGTGTCCCCAGTTGTCTGGAAGTACCCATGGGGCTGAATCAGGTCTCGGGCCCAGGGTGGAGTTCAGACAAACAGGTACTTATTGCTGTCGTCTACCTAATCCCAAGTCCAAAGTCAACCATAAGGCTATTGACCTTTGTCCCTCTATATACAGAATGGTATTTTGAAACCAATAAGTTTTTGCCCTGTTGAAAACTTCTCTGAGCTCCAAGCTGCACCCTCGTCAAAGAAAGTTTCCCTTTCTATTTCTTCGTGCTTTGATCCCTTCAGGCCATGTCAGCTGGGGTCTTTGAGAAAAAAGATTTGTAGTCCAGGCTTCTCTTATCTGTATCCCTGTATCCAAACAAGTTATCTTTAACTTTCCTTTACTACATAAACTATTAATAGGTTACTAAAGAATAAAGGAAGTTTAGACTTTTAATCCATATGAATCCTAACTTCTTATTTTCTTTCCACCTGACATCGCACTCAATTATTAGAAATATGAAATGATAGCTTGTTGGAATGGGAAGGGATCTTCGCTGAGATGTCATCTACTGCAACTCTCACTTTACAGAAAAGGAGAGGCTTTCCCTTTTTACAAAAGGGAAAATGGACTTGGTGAATGTCACAGAGCTTGTAAATGGCAGAACCAGAAGACCAAAGGCAAGGTCTTCTGACTTTGAGTCTAGGAAATCTAGATAGAGGGAATTAACATAGAGCAATTTAAATATAGAATGATAGAAACTTCTGGCTACAAAAATGAATTATAAATAACATAAGATAGAATTTAATTCTCTAAGGAAGGCAGTTCTTCCAAAAGCCTTCCTAAGGAGGAAAGGAAATGGATATAATATACAAATAGGAGTTTATGGAAAATGTGTGAATAAGAATCAAGCCATCCTTGGAAAGTCACCTCATGAATACCTTACTTAACTAGCCCTGCCTGGTGTGGCTCAGTGGATTGAACACTGGCCTGTGAACCAAAGGATCGCTGGTTCAATTCCCAGTTAAGGCACATGCCTGGGTTGCAGGCCAGGTCCCCAGTAGGGGGTGTGCAAGAGGCAGCCACACATTGATGTTTCTCTATCTCTCTTTCTCCCTTCCTTCCCTCTCTGAAAATAAATTTTAAAAAAATTTACCTTACTTATCTTATCTAAATACCTTACTTATCTAAAGATCCTTAATTCAGCAAATGTGACCATTTGGACCTCAGCTGAGATCTACAAGGAACCAAAGAAGGTTTATGGGCAGCAAAACAGGTCATAGAGATATTATATTGAAGAGTGTAGCCAAGAAAAAGAACTAAAAGGTGTCCAGATTGGAAAATAAAAGTGAAATTATCTTTACTCACAGATAATGTGATCTTATATTTAGAACATCCTGAGGAATCCACTAAAAAACTGTCAGAGTTCATTAAAGTTCAGCAAAATTTGCAAGGATGTGAGAACAATATGCAAAAGGTCGTATTGTTTTAGTGAAAATTA